CAATGGATCTGCTGGGTGGCGTTTCTAGAAACACAAAAGATCCTTTGTGTCATGGTGGCGTTTTGATGGTGTCTAACGCCAACAAATTTCGCCATCCCAAAATGAGGTGGCAATACTTTTCTGGGCTTCTGGGAGGTCATGACATTTTGGCTACCATGTCATTTGGCCAACTCTCGCTGAACCCTTTCAAAACACATCCCAGAGCATTCCACGCATCAAGGCATGTCCCCCATGTCACAGCCTGCGTCACCCAACTCTTCCCCACCCACTTCTCCCCGGCATACAGTTACCGGCTGCACCATACTGGTGACTACTTGGGCACCGTATCCCCCCAAACTAACCTAACCTAACCCTTAGCCCTAAACTTAAACCTACCCTTACCCTAACCCTAAAACTCACCCTAAAACTAAACCTAACCTTAAAACTGAGGTGAGGACCCAGTGCGCCCGTGACTTCGTGCAAGCAGTCGCAGATTTGGTGCAGGCAGTAACATTATTTCGACCCCGTCCAAGTGCCCCCTGCCCAGACTTCCCTTCCGCCCAGTCCAGCCCCCGGGCACCAAGCCACGGCAACCGCCGCCGAACCCCTCCCCCCTCCCCTCTCCGAGGTGGGCAGCGGCCTCTCTTGGGCCTTTCCATCTCGATGATCTCATCTCGACAGTCACGTCAAGAGCGCGCGCCCACACGATGCCCTGCCAACGCCACTGTCACGCGCCCAGGGTCGATAACGTGAGCCTTACTTCTGTTCCCGGCTTTCAACAGGAGTGCGAGCTCAACGGGCTTTTGAACCGCCTCCTCAGTCTCTGAGGGCATTCTCGGACTCGCGCGGACTTGTTGGCGTCCTGGAGACCCTGAACTTGGGACTTGCACGTTCGAGGTGGCAAGGCGCCGATAGAGGGACCGGCGGAGGCAGCGGGCAGCCGGTGGAGCCACCGAAATCGGTGGCCGAGGAACCGGCAGAACAGCTGGCTGTCTCCAAGGCGCTTTTCACAGTTGCCGAAAAGTATTGCAAACCTTGAGGCCTGGCGGTGGGGCTTGGTACTTCGAGGTGGCAAGCGACCTATGCGGTGACACAGGGCGGGCAGACCGGACGAGTTTGACCCAGGATTGGCTCACCTGGGCAACGAACGGTCGCTGTCTCACCAAGGGCCGCTTTGGAGTCGCGGGCGCTTATCGCGTTCTGGATGCCTTGCGCCCTCGGGTTCGGCCTTCCAGGTAGCGAGCAGCCGATGAGGTTTGGCCAGCGTGGCCTGCTCCGACTCGTTTCACCAAGACCTGGCTCGAGATATTGACGGGGGTTCCCGAAAGTTTTTTCGGACTCGTGGGGAATTGTCGCCGCCTTGCGCTCGGCTCTCGGGCCGTACGGGCTAGCGAGCGATCGGTGCGGCCTGCCTGTCGCAGCCTGCGCCCGCGAGTTTGACCCAGATTTGGCTTTGGTGGGCGACGAGGAGGCGCTTTCTCTGCAAAGGCCGCTTTAGAATCGCGGGGACGTATCCCCCTTCCCGGAGGCCGTGCACTCGCCTTGGGCCTGTTGGGGTAGCGAGCGATTGGTGCGGATCGCCAAACGCTGCCTTCTCTCGCGAATTTGGCCCAGATTTGGCTCCAGAAAGCAAGCAAAAAGGGTAGGAGAAAGAAGAAGGCAGAAAGCAGAAAGCAGAAGGCAGCAAGTGGAGAGCAGCAAGCAGCAAGGAGCAGGGAGCAAGCAGAAAGCGGAAAGCGGAAAGCGGCAAGGGATCGCGAAGATCAGGCCAGCATGACGTGTGCTTCGGCGGGTTGGGGGCGCCTGGCGGGCTTCCTGCAACGGATTCGATCATCTCTGGCAGGGAAGGGTCCGGGGGATGAGGCGGGGGACGGCAATCCCGACGAGGCAGCCACCACGCCGCTGCGCGGCACAGGAAGCGTCGACAGGAAGATGAGCTCCAGCTGCGCATCAGAGGGGTCGGATGGATCTCAGGTTTTGGTGGCGATCGGGGGCCAGGGGGGGGTGGGGGGAGAAGGTGAGTGGAGGGCGGATTTTTTGATGGCTGGACGGGCTGTGATAGCTAAGATCGATGATTCTGGTATTGAGTGGAGGTGCGCGGGGAAGGCGCGGGGGTGCTGCGGGGGGTGGGTACTGGGGAAAGGGGGAGGGGAGGGGAGGGCGAGATTCGATGATTTGCTGGCGGTTGAGGTGATTTGTGGGGATGGGGGCAAGGCCAGGCTGTTGTTGCATACGTTTGGGAGAAGCAGGCGCAACCCAAGGGTGTGGGCAGCATCAAAGGTGGAGTTTTGGGCTTCGAATGGTGACATGGCGCGGCGCTGGGCGCGGAGGGCCAGCCATTGGATTGATGCCAAGGTGGAGCGGCCCAGGAGGCTGTGGGTGTTTGTGAACCCGCACGGTGGGAAGGGAAGGGCCAGGGACATATGGGCGGACAAGGTGGCGCCCATCTTCAAGGTGGCGGGCATCAGCTGCTCCGTGGTGCACACCCACAGGGCGAACCACGCGCACGACCTGGTGAGCCGGGCCAGCCCAGAGGACTTGGCCAAGCACGACGGCATCGTGGTGGTTGGTGGCGACGGCCTCTTCCAAGAGGTGATGAACGCCATCTTGACCAGGGACAGCAGCCAAGGTCCCCAGTCAGATGGCTGCACAGTCCGTTCCCCGAGGATCCGCCTGGGGCACATCCCTGCAGGGTCCACAGATGCTGTTGCTTGGAGCCTGAACGGTTCCAGGTCGCCTGTCTCTGCGGCGCTCCGTGTGGCCCTTGGCGACCGAATGGCGATGGACGTGATGTGCATCAAGCCAGAGAAGGGAGTGCCAAGATTCTCTGCCTGCCTGGCGGGGTACGGATTCATGGGCGACGTCATGAGCACCAGCGAGCAGATGAGATTCCTGGGCCCGATGCGATACGACCTGGCTGGGGTACTGGTCTTTTTGAAGGGCTGCCGATACGCCGTCAAGGTGCGTTACTTGCCGGCCACCGCCCGGCCTCCAGACTCCCAGTATGTGTGCTGGGAATCTTGCAACTGGTGCACAGACAGTGGGAGAAGGATGAAAGGATTAAAAGCACCTCCCTTGACCTTCGCCACACCAACAGATGACCCGCCTGATTCTGCAAAACGCCCCTTGGCTGATGCCAGTGACGCTGGCGCTGGTCGCGAAACCTTTCCTGCTGATGTTGACATGGAGGCTGCCACGGACGGTGACAAGATCAAGACCATCGAAGGGCAGTTTGTGTCCGTCATGGCCACCGTGACGTCGTGCCGCAATGACAAGGCGCCCAGGGGTGTGACGCCCTACGCCCACTTGGGAGACGGCCGGATGCACCTGGTCGTGGTGCGGCGGTGCTCCCGGCTTCAGTACCTCAAATTTCTGCTGTCTATGGCCAAGCGCGGCGTTGTGCAGGGCAAGTTTCCGTTCGTGGAGACTGTGGACGCCCAGGGGGCATGCTTCGAGCCCCAGGGTGGCTGCAGCAGCTGGAATATTGACGGGGAAGTGGTGCCGAGCCAGCGCCTGACAATGGAAGTCCGCCAGCGTGCCTTGGATGTCTTTGCCAGGGGGTGTGCGATGTCGCCCAGGGCGCACTGAATCCAGTTGAACTCGCCTCAGCTTTGGTTGGCTGCCCTTGGCTTGGCTTGACTTCAGGTTTGTAAGTCTTTACTCAGCTGGGTTGGCCTGCCTCAGCTTGCCTGTGGGCACCATGAGGGAATCGAGAGGGAATCGAGTGCAGTGGAGTGCAGAGGCAGTTGTTTGTTGAATGGGGCCTTTTTGGGGCAGTGAGAGCGGATAGCTCTGTGACGTGCTGAAGGGTTTGGGGCAACTGCGTTCCTGTTGGCATTCCAGCTGGGCCAATTCTTGACGAGTTGCTGTAGCAGGGATGTAGGCTGTTGTTCACGAGAATTTGCGTCTTTTCAGGTGAGAGACTTTTTCTTTTGTTCTTTTGGCTTCTAATCCGATCCACCGACTGGCATGCAGCGTTGTTGGCTCGGTGTCTCTCCGTTTACCTATGGAATGAGTTTTTTTCCAGGCTTAGTTTGGGCAGACGCATCGGTGTTTCGGTGTGCAATGGATGACATCAGGAATCGTACATCTCTGACCCTAAACCAACTGAGAGTGGGACACACAAGCAAGGGGGCTGTATGATTCGATGATATGCATCACTCTTTTGGCCGTGCGGATAAAGTCCACTTGACGTGGACATAGATATATCTTGCATTTCACCTTTTTTCTGCTTTCTGCGACCGCCTTTATGCATTGCAGACGGGGGCCGAACGGGTGAAATGGGATAAGCGGAGGAGCTAAGATAGGATTAGGGCTGAGAGGACGAAGGACGGAAAGGTATTTCGGATGTATACATGCCCTGCAAAGTGCAAGGGCACTGCTCTGTATTTCAAAGGCAAGCTTATCAAAGAATTGAAGTGTGTGTGCCTGTGACACTGCGCCGCAAAAGGCGAATCAGGACAGGGCACCGGCGTATAATATGCCCTTGGCACTTGAAGAGAAGCGTCACCCTGGCTGGGGTTCGATTGCTTGGCATTTGACTGATGAGCGCAGCCCAGCTTTTTGTTCCCTCAGCAAAGCGTCGGCAGTTCTGCAACAGTGACACAATCCAAGTGAACAGGCTGGATGTCGTTGGAAACCAACCAGAGGGGTTCCTTTTCGCTGCTTCAAACGTTGCGTCTTGACACTGGCTTTGGCAGGCGGTCGGCTAGCCATGGGCTCTGGCCGGTGCAGTTCAAAGGGAAGGCATGTCCGCTCAGCAAGGCCACAACCGCACCTGCCATTTGGGGAGAGATGCACAGGGTCCCAATTGATCGCATTGCAATGCCGGTACCGGTTGGGAGTGGCATTGTCCAGGGATGGTGGATCCAACAGGGCAATGTTCTGGTCCCATCCTGGGCGTACTCCAGAGTAACCCATTGTAAAATGGGTTGCGATCTTTTGCTTGTGAGAATGGGCTTTACTGGAGGAAATGTGATGCCATCTGCATCGCAACGCATTTTCGCTTTAACAAACCCACTTCGTAGGCGCTGGTGGAGCGAAAAGACAGATCGGTTTGTGAGGGAGCCGCTCTGTGCCCTTCACATGCTCTGCACCGTCCGGTAGGGCCGCTGCCCGCTCTAAATGCCCGGGAAAAGGCTTTGCTCGACTGAAATCAATAAAAATAGTGGAGCAAACTACTGACCATCATTATCACTGACATCTAGATGCTGCTTCAGTCTTGTTCGAATGACTCACTGCCTGGTGCGGTTCGCCCTCCTGCTCTCGATAGGCCGGCAGCACGAGCAGCGTCCGTGCGTTTCCGGGGCAGACGATGTAGTCGAACAATTCCACTTCCTTGCCTTCAAGGTGACTTCGCTCATGTCCAACAACTGGCGCTGGTATCCGCTGCCAACCCTCCGTTTCGCCCATCCTTCCACACTTTTACGACAACGTCCGAAAGAAACAGCGCTGTGCTGACACGTCCCATTTGAAGGCCGGTTTCTGACCATGTCACGCAGCTTCCCTGTTTCAATGTGCATTGTTGCTGAAAGTCGTGCATCAGTGTGACTGCCATTCCCACCAGAACATCGCGCTTCGAGCCGCTTGTGACACCTGGCCGTCGTCCCCAGCCCGCCTGTGCTTCGCTGGCAGGGAATCGAATAATCGCACAAGACCCAACCGATGTGTCCACACGGGAATCCCTGCACATTTACAGCACAAGCCCTGTGGCCTAGCGTCCCCCTCCCCAACCGGCCGTTCTTCCCAATACGTCTAACCAACAACAAAACCAATCAGCCACCCCAATCGCCGCGACGCCCCGCTGCAAGCAATAAATTGACAAAATTGTTCATTTTGAAGAATCACTACACTAGCGGCAACGTCGCGGGCCCGCATGCGTGCGGCCCCGCCAAGCCGTGGGATCATCCCAGCAGGACCAAAGGGAGCTGGCGGCACCGCTCAAAAAGCACGTCAGTCGGAGCGCGCCCAACCAACAGACCGCCCTTGAGACACAAGTCAGATGTGCTCCATTCCCCGCCTGCAGAGAGCTTAATCACCCCTCTGAAGGGCACCCCACCGCTGCAAATTTCCTACCTCAAGGCGCTGACAAATCACAACGAGAACCGCCTGCATCGGTGCTATTGCCTGCCCGCCACCATCTCCAGGCATCCAATCCTTGCTTCCCAACCGCCCCTCCACATTTCCTCGCCCCAACCGTGCCCGCCAAATCGAGCACGCACACGCAAGCGGTCGGCTCCCGCGCCTCGCCACTGGGCTCTTGTCCCTGCAATGTACTAACTTCTGGCAACTCCACATCCCCCAATACCTGTGGGCCCCGTCCACAGAGGCCAGGTCCCAAGCCACCTCTCCTTCAAGCACTCCGCTATTCCAGTACTTTAACCAGCAAACCAGCATTAATATGATGCTCCAGCGACCGCCATCGTCTTCCCAGGTGCCAGGGCCTTTTTCGTGTCATTTCTGACAAATGTAAGCAACAGAATTCACACAGCCGCGTGCAGTACATGCGCACAGCCAGCAACGCACAGTCGTCTCCTGTGTCTTCCGCACGATCCGAGTTCAGCCTTCAATGAGCGTGTGCCAAACACTGCCGTTCCACTACCGCTGCAGCCTCAGTCCCACCCTCTTTCCTCCTGACGCGCCGCCATTCCAGCGCTCAAACCACGAAACGCCCACAGCAGTACGTTGGCCCAGTACTTTGATCCACACAAACTACTCTACCCGCAGTCGCCCCACACAGCTGTCCCCCCGTCATTGCAATCTAAGGCCAACGCCCCTTCCTCCAAACATGCCATTCTAGTGCTCAACCAGTTAGCCAAGCACCCATTCCAGAATATAGCCGGTTGGTTTAAGTTGCTGACACCACACCCCCAGCAGCACATTAGCCTAGTAACCCGATCCACATCCATCTCACCAGCCCTTCTACTCGATCCGACTTGAGTCTTCAATTGGCGGCCGCCCCGCGCTGCTGTCACCCCGCCGCTGCAATCTCAGGCCGACGCCCGGCGGCGCCCTCGAAGAGCCCCCCGGCCTCTCCCCGCCGCTGCCGCTGGCGCCCGACCACCGGCCCTCGGACCCCACGGAACCTGACGATCCGGCGGGGCCCTCCTGGCGCCTCAGGGGCAGCGCCTGGGGCGGCGGCACCATGCGCTGCATCTCGGTGCCGAGGTCCAGCACCGCGCGGCTCCTGGCGGGGGTGGGAATGGCCTTCCTGCTCCGCGCCTGCGCCTGAGGGTAATGTGCCAATGCTCCAAACAATCAGTCGAGCATTTGGGAAATGTGACGAATCAAGGCAAGGAGGCAGCCGTCAGCTTCCTGTTCCGCTTGAGAAGAGCAGCGTGCATTGTTTGTGCTTTGAAATTGAATGCGCTGCACAAGCGAGATCCATAATATACCAATTTGCGGCTCAAATCCATAATCTACCAACTCGTGACTCGATTGGCTATCGATGACGATGCACATTGAAGCAAGTGTCCTTGCGGGTTGGACGCCTATCACTCTGCCGATATATTATGTTTCAATCTGTCAATCAATCGAATAATAAACAGTAAAGAAGGAGGCAGGGAGGTTGCCGTCAGACGCCTATTCCGCCAGAGTGGGATGTGTCCCTGAATTGTTCATTGAAACTCAAAGGTTTGCACCAAATTGTACATTGAATGCCCAGCAATGCAATTTATTGATCCATGAGTGTGTCAATCTGCAGGTCTATCAGACTGCCCATCCACAGTAGACTGCTAGCAGAGGGACGCTGTTTTGACTACCTGAGTTCAGCAGAAACACGTGACATGAATGGCGTGTCGATTTTTCGCATTGCCCACAAGGATTATCATGCATTCATTCTGCCCATCCACAGCCGCTCATGTCAGCACCCACCACCCCCACCTGCGTCTCCCGCATCACATTCATCCAATTCTCGATCGAGTGCGTCACCATCAGCCCGTGCTCCTCCTCCTCGAGATCCAATTTCTTCGACACACCCTGCGCGCTGATCTCTGTCCTCTCGTCCCTCCTCCGGCTGTCATACAGCTCCTCCACCTCGTCGCGAGGCGAGAACACATCCACAGCCACATCGCCTTCCTGGCCATCGCCGTTGGCACCGCCCTGTTGCTCTTGGACGTGCTGGATGAGCGTCAGCCACCTGCGCTGTGTCATTTTGCGGCCCTCGCTGGCACGGTCCAGGAAGGAGTGGTGCATGAGGATGGTGGCCCAGAAGGCGTTGTGGCCCTGGTCGAGTTTCTGTGGGGCGGGGGCTGGGGTCAGCATGGGTGGGGGCGAGGGGCTGATGGGAAGGGGAAAAAAGATAGAAAAGGAAAAGGGAAAAGAGAAAATGGAAAATAGAAAAACAGAGACAAACGACGAGGGCAAGGACCAGGGAAGGGGAAAAAAAAGGACAGGAAAGAGAAGAGAGGAGAAGGTTACTTAACATAAGCAGATGAGAAGGAGCAGGTTTCCTACTTATGGTGTTGCGACAAAGATGCGCATGCTACCGTCCGTGCTGTACCACAATGTATGACACATCAGAATGAATCATGGCCACGTCCAAGGCCCGCCCATGTGGAATCCCACTGCCCCTACAATCCCAAAAAGACGACTCCGTGAAACGGCACCACACAGTTCATCTGTTCAGGATGCCTCCCAACAAGCGGAAGAAAGACAGAGGAAGGAAGAGAAAAAGAAAAGAGAGGAGGAAAACTTCAAGGAAAAAATTCTTGATGACCTTGTTCCTGTGTGTCACATCGCACTTGAGAATGGAGGGAACGATAGGGGCCAGGGTGCTTTGATTTGAGCCTGGGAAGGAGTCGTATCGATGGGAGCGGGATAAGTATTGCAAAGGCAAAGGGGCTGTTGCGTTGATGATGGCAAGACTTGGCGCATCAGTCTGGACAATGGTGTCTTGCGGTGGGCTGGCCAAGGGCTGTTTGCGCTGGGCAAAGGAAGAGGCTATCCAACAATTATAAGTCTTCATGTCCGCCCATGGCCACTGTTGTTCACATCATCTGCATTGATGCAGTGCAGCCTTGTGCCGATTTGCAACCTGATCAGTAACAAGAAGCTGGGGTGCTAGTTGTGGCTTTTCTATGTGTTGTTTCGTTTGGTACACCAATGTGGCAAGCATGCGATGTGCGACTTGAACTTATGTTGCTCCATTTGGAATGCAAGAAATATAAGTTCAACTGGAACAGCAAGCAACCTGCGTCGACCACGGAGCGGTACAGAACAAAACCGGCACTGCCGACCCCACCGCCGCCTACCTGTTATCGCCGCATTCGCCACACAGCGTACAGGATACCCAGCACGGTGTACACCCCGGTGTAGATCAGCAGGAACAGCACAAAGTACAGCTCGTGCAGCACGTTGTAGTTCTGCACCAGCATGTGTTCCGCAACAAACTTGTTGGCGATCACCTCGTTGAGGAACCACATCACAAGCAGCGCCACCACCACCGGGAACACTGGCCTCAGGATGTCAATCAGCTCTGGGAGGCTGGCCAGGAGGGCAAAGATCGTTGCCAGAATCCAACCGAACACCAGCAGCTGCAGCACTGCTGTGCTGACAAGGATCCCGAAGAAGAACGAGGCGTTGCTGATGGGATACCTCTTGATCACCGATTCCCAGCTCCTGTTCTTGAGATTTGTGCGAACGACGGCCTCCACTCTCTTGAGGTGCCTCCTCGCCACCCCCCTGTCCACGATCACCATGTCCTGCGGCAGCTGCAGGTCTGTGAACAGCCCGCTGCGGATCGCCAGACTGATCTTTTTGTACTGCCGAAGCACGGACAGGAGAGTGTAAAGGCTGACCATCAGGCCACACGCGTAGCCAAACCACACACTCCATCGGAAATTGTCCATCAGGCTGTCGAAGACGATCGTCACACCACCTGGGGTCTCGTCAAAGAACACGTCCTCAGGGATGTCGACGTTGGCAGCCTTCTCCTGGCGCTCGAGGTCCGCCTCCACAAAGTTGATCGCAGCCAGCAGCACGCTAGCATCGCCCCGCTCCCCGCTCGAGCAATTATAGAGCCGGTCTTCCTCCAGGGCTCCATTCAGCCTGTCCAACAGGTCATTGGCATATTTATTCACCGCTTCCTGCAGGGCCGTGGCGTTGGGGCTGCCATCCGGTGCTGACAGGCTGCCATCAAGGAATGGCGAACTTGCCACATTCGTGCCTTCCCGGAAGTTTATCAGCCTCAGGAAGAAATTGGTGAGCAGCGGGTACTCCAGTATGCACGTCCTGAGGGGGAAGTAGATGTCATTGATGGCCCCAAGCAGCAGGGCGTTAATCACCAGGCCAAAGTATACTGTCAAGACCGCTGCAGTCAGCACAGCACCCTTGATCCATGCAGGGTGCTTGTAGCCCTCATCCTCCTTTATAGCCTCCCAGGACCGCCGCACAAAATCCTCCATCTCTGGGCGAAACTTCCTGACACCTTGCGCAATTTTGTCCCCTGCCTTTACCATGGGTGTCAACATCCACATGAAGCTGCCCCGCTGGCTGCCACGCACATTCTTGCTAAACCCATCCCAGGATGGCCCAATCCAGCTGAAAAGACCATCGAAGCATCGCGTCCATCCAAGATGGCAGCAGCAACCCCACCTCATGCAGCCCGCCCACGCAACGATTCCAGCGGAGATCCCAGCGTCGGCCCTCTTGATGGTGCCTTGGACTACACCAGTGGCTTTTTGCTTTCCACCTCTGCCAACTTTTGCCAGCGAGTACAATCCCTTGGCGACCTTCTCTGCTATGAAGTCAAAGCAGCTCACACGCCTCTTCCTTTGTGCCTGCAACAACACCGATGCACCCCAAAAGATTCCTCTTATTCACAGAAACTCGCAAGGTGGGTCAAGATTAGTGTTTAGCAGTTTCAGCAGAGTCCTAGGTGATTTTATAGTAGTTACTGGGCAGCTCCCTGCCCACCCTTCCCAAATCTTATACTGGTGCTGTTGCGGTAAGCCTTGATGGCACATACATACCATACAGCACAGTGTCAGCAACGTAAACCACAACACCACTGCCCATGTGATATGCACAGCTACAGGTGCAAGGAAACATGGCCATTACTTCCATACTATTCAAGCAGCAACACCACTTCATATGACCACTGTGCAGAGGAAAATTTCAGGCTAAAACGGCAAGGTAAAAACAAGCAAGGGCAGCATCCACTGTGAAAGCAGAAAAGAAGCTCAAGTTCACCATTTGCGTTTCCTCCTCCTTAATCAAGAGCACAGCCTCATCCAGCCTTTCTTTCAGCATCACCCAGGGGCTCGTGTCGTCCTTGGCCTCATTGTAGATGATTATCCGCAAAAACAGCAGGTTGAGTTGTACGAAGACGATGCCAAAGACCACCAGTATGAAGTAGTGCGCGACAGGGCTCTCGAAATCTCCTTTGTCCCTTCGGTACTCGAATGAATTCCTTGCAGAGGCGATCAAGAAAAAGGCCAGCAAGTCCGCAAAAATGAGGGCAGCGAATGAGTAGAGCTCCCATCTGTATTTCTTGTACCGATGTCCTCTGTTGAAGCACACAAGACCTCAGACCAATGAGCTGTTGCATGCCAATGTGTCGTATCACATTTAAGGCTCCTGGTGCTGCCCCCCTTCCAACAGAGATGTAGCACTCCAAAAAGTGCAAAGTGATCCGATGCCCAAAGTTCGTGCTATGCCCATGAGCCATGAGGCAAAGAAGCATGCCTCTCTACAAATGGGCCCAATCCACTCAGCATGGATTCACGCAGTGCTAGACAATGTCTTTGGCACAAATTGTGCTGGATGGTGATTATAAATGTTTGCAGCTGCCTCAGCATCACTTTCACATCTGCGACAATTAACCCAAACAGATTTTGTTTGGCAGTGCGGTTTAGGATATTTATCTGCCTGTTGTCCACTTTACATCAACAAAAGGTGGAACAGGCAGCCAAATGATGACCTTCTTTCTGACTGTTGGGAGTGAACACTGCCTGTCATGCCCCCCAGTTGCAACGGTAGTCCATCCATTCCACAATTGCAGGTCGTTCTCTATAGATTGGGAATGTTGGTCTGTCATATGCACCAATCAAAGCACAAACATAGTACAGCACTGCACATTCTTTGGCCGTTTTCAACATCCATTGCTAGCATCTGGCATGTGCCGTGTGCTGGCACGTAAACATGGACGTTATCAGTAAACTAAATATGGTTCAGTGGGCACAGCATTCAGTTGTCGATGCACTTGTACTGGACAACCACCACCACCACATTCAAGGGCTAATCCTGTCGTTGAAAAAGTCTACTAGAATAGTTGCAATCTGGCAAAGAAATACACATCTACATCTGCAAGGCTGCACCAGGCAAGAATCCACTTGCAGTTTGTTCACACTACGATCGTCACGCAAGCCAAAGTCCCGATTACTCATCACCATCACCTGTGGAAGGTGCAGAGATTGGGGACAAGCAGAAAGAAGGCCAGCAGGCCTGAGAGGATGGCAAAGAGCAGGAGGAAGAGTGAGCCGAGCACCCTGTTCCAGACAGGTGAGATGTCCAATGGGTCGCTGAAAAAATTGGTGTCCTCTCGTCCCTGAAAAAAGCCTCGCTCCCTGAAGAGGATAACCAGCTGCAGGGCAGCAGCACAGATGCGATTCAGAAAAGTGCATCTGTATCCACAGTGCTGTGAGGTAGTTTTGCCAGGGGCTCCTGTCATTTTGTAACTAGTCATAATGCAACTGGGGATTGTGCTCATGTACGTACATCTGGTTCAAAACGGAACACAATCAAAAGAATATATGTGCTGGTCACTGTTTTTGCAGCAAAGATGGGGCCCTGTACCAACTCACACAAAAAATTAAGGCGAATTCAAAACCAAAAGATATTTGTGTTGTGCTGTTGCCTCTTGTTCCACCAGATCTGAGTTGGACGTGGGGTCCATCGTGTTACTGAGAAAATACAGTGGGCCAAAACGGTGGCATGGGTTGAAACTTTTAAGAACTTCTTGCCATCGTTCCATACAGAATGCAAGCAATCTCACTTCGCCTAAGCGGCTATGCCTGCCTTTTCCCCTTTGACACCAGCACCTGGATACATATACGAATTGTGTGCAGTGGATGCGAGCATGGTTTTACTGCAGATCACCAAATGATGTTGGTGGGAGCTGTTGGTTAGGGCTTGTGGCAGTGTTGCAGGACAAAGACACCTGAGCATGTGCAGCTGCGGGCGCTATACAAGGCACAATCAAGGTCCTAAACGAGGGCAACGCCAAGCGCAGCAGCCCAAGCCGTGCAGAGATACCCCAACTATGACCCAGAGGCCAGGACACACCACGCACAATCCACCCCTGGTTGATTGCCACCAGCGCATAAGAACGTCGAGGAATCGCAGTTTTCCTGCACCCCCACAGGGACTGAGCGTCAGCAGCATCCCAAGGGACTGCCGCGACACCTCCGGTGGCCTTACTAGCTGGCGGCCCACGTGCAGCATTCACACGCAGCTCGCCCATCGCACCCACGGCGTTCGCCCCGCGGCCCCCCCCCCCCCGCAGCCTCCACTGCGCATCCAGATTCAGATTGACAGCGCATCTTGTCCTCGAGATTCCCGGGGCGATCCTTGTCCCAAGATGAGCGGCCAAACCGGCAACGCTGCAGGGGATCCCCAACGCCGCAACCCCGTGCGCGTTTTGGCCCCGGTTTGGCCCACAAGACAAGGGCGCCGATACTAGCAAAAGCAAACACGCCAAGCCAAAGCCAGAGCGGCAGCCGGCTTCTGCCGCGAAGAACCTTAAACGCAGGCCTCCCAGGTGGGCATCGCCACGCGCGACGCAACCGCGATCATGAAGGCGACTGCCGTGGTCACGTAACGCCTCCGATGGTCAGCACCCGTCAACACCAGGGAACCGGGACTCGGCGGTGCCTGCGCCCGCCCCAGCGGCGGGCCGCGCCGGCCCCCCGGAAGAATACCGCCACACGCGACGGCAGTCGCAGATCCCTTTCGGCGTCCGCGACGGTCGCCACGGCGCTGGCCCCCGCATCCCTCCTCGTCAGCATGCAAAGCCCGTCCGCGATATGCCGAAAAGCGCTTCCGTCGCCCGTCTCCGCGCGCGAGCCGGTCCGCAGAACAGCCGGGACCGTCCGGCCCCGCAGCATCCGGCCCCGGGCGCACGGTGCGCGCCATCCAATCCAGGCAGACCTGGACCTCCGTCATCGCAGGTCGCGCCAACAGAGCCCGGCGCCCCATCCGACTCCACGGGACCCGGCAGGCCTGCCGCCCCATCAGCGCTGGCAAGCCCCGCCCTCATTGACCCCGGGCGGTTCCGCGATTTCCCGATGCTCCCGTGGGGCCCAGTCCGTGCGAAAGCGCTTGGGATGCCCACACGTGATGCCGGTCATCACCGCACGCGCAAAGCCCCCCCCCCCCCCCCCCCCCCCCCCCCCCCCCCCCCCCCCCCCCCCCGCGGCCCCGCCGAGGCGAGGTCAGCACGGCCAATCTCGCCAGCCCGCGCCGGAAACACGGGCCCCGCTCAACGGATTCATCCACCCCGCCACACACCCCACGCCCCGGCCGTCGCACGCCGAGTCCACATATGCGCTCACACGGCGCTGAGCAAGGCCTCCTCCGCGGCCCCATGGCCCCCCCAATCAAGGCCACCCACGCCATCTCGCATCGCCCTCCCATCCAATCCCATCCATTCCCCGCTTCCCCCCCGCCCCCCAAACCCCCAATCCCGTCCAAAGAGTGAGCGTCCCAGTGACTCACGGCGGGCCCCCAAGGGCCTCACCGACAGCGCCACCACGCTGAGCACCGTCCCCGTGTAAACCCCCGACGTCCCATCCAGCGACTTGATCTTCTTCCACTGCATGGTGGACTCGCGCCGGCGCCGGGGCGCCAGCGCCAGCTTTAGGAACGACACGTCCGGTGTGGCCGACAGTTGCAGCGCATCCTTGCGCCCCTGCCTCTCCGCATCCCCCCTCGCCGTGTCCCTGGGATCCTTCGCCGGTCCGTCTTCCGCGCTCCAGCGGCCTATGCCCGCCCTCTCCTCGCTGCCCGGAGAAGCCATGGCTGCGGTGCCGGAGTCCACACCGGGGGCAGGCAGGAAATGGGCAGTCTCACTCGCGCGCCTGGGTTTCATGCTTCCACTCTTCGCCTCACGCTCGAGGTGGAAAGCGGTCGGAAGGCGTCATGGGTGAGGTGGGGAACCTACACGGGGGCCTCTGGGGCGAATCTGGGGCGCGTCATCGCCGAGATCAACCGCTGGTCAGCCATGGGGCCCTTGATCGGCCGTTGGTGAAGTTTTCAAACGCGCAATGTACGCGCGCTGTTGCGAAAGGCGGTGTGAATGCCGGTTGGGTAATGGCATGAACGTTGTTCGATTGTTTGCGTGCAGACGTGATGGGCGGGCTGGTGGCGATGTTGCGAGTGTTGTGCGGTTGCCAGCAAAGGCCCGTGATTGCTGGTTGGATATTGACATGGGTGTTGTTCGATTGCTTGTGTGCGTGCAGGACAAGCCGTCCGGTCGGCGGTCGCATGGCGGATGTTGTGGGTGTGCGGTGGCTGCAGAGGGGAGCGATGCCTGGCTGGACAGCAACACGAGCGTCATTCGATAGTTGATGTGCACATGGGATGCACTGTCTGTTCGGTGATCGCATGTGGGATGTTGTGAGCGTGCAGTGGATGCAGAGGTGCCAGATGCCTGGCCGGAGGATAATGTGAGCATTATTCGATTGTTGATGAGCACACGGGACGAGCGGATCGGGCCGGTGATCGCGTGACAGATGTTGTGAATGCGGTGTGGCCGAAAGGCGCGTGACGGCGCCGAGCCTGTTGAGACTGTGGATGGCGTGTGGACACAGCGACCGCGCCTGATGGCGGTGTGCTGCCGCCCCACGCAATGGACAAGATTTTTTTCTGCGTTTTCGGAGTTTGGGTGGGTGGGGGGTGGGTGGTAGCTGTTTGTGTTGGTTGCTTGCAACAAACTGCTGAAGGTGCTGGCCGAAGCTGCCCTCGTCCCACATCACCTTGCAACTTGCCCGAATCAGCGACCCTGGAGTGACGTGTGGCACGTTTTTCGCCAGTCGTCGTTTCCAGTGTTTCACCCTCCAATTCTCTCCTTTTCCCCTGTTGTAACTAGAACTGATTGAGTATTATTAACAACTTGACGCACAAAGAAGTGATGAGGCAAAGGAATTGCACCAAGGACGTTAATGAACTGACTGGATATAAGGGACAGAACTCCTGTTGTCCCTTTGCTCGGCTGCAAACCGCTGCCGTGGACTCGAGCATACGGTCCCCGTCCAGGTGTCGCCGCCCCCCGACCCTGCCTGCCTTGGTCAATCCAATTTCATGATACGATTGATCGTTCATTTCACGGCCTGCTCCCAACAACCGCCACCGCCCCCCCGCGACAGCAACTCCCCAATCCCTTCCCGCCCTTGCCCCAACGGGCAGGCACGACCGCGCGGCCACGACCCCTCCCGCCTCCGGCAGCCGACACAATTTTCCAGCGGCCGGCCGAGGGCCGCGTGGGCGGCCATCGAAACGGACAAGCGGGCGGCAGAGGGGAGCATGAGCCGGGACGGGGACTACATACCTGATGAGGTGCGCATGGCCTGGGCGATTGATCCGCGCAGGCGCGCCGGGGGACGCACGGTTACGCGCAAGAGAGAGCGAAACGGGTCATGCATAGGGCGCCCCTCCTGAGCAAGCGTACGCGAGGCTCCTGTCCGCACGGTGACAGTTGACATGGAGTCTGCGATGCGAAATGACGGGCACGCAATGCAGGAGCAGGGCTGCCTTGCCGTGGGCTGTTCCGTGGAGCGCCCGCACTGAGGGGGATTTGAATCTTTGAGGCCGCTTAGTTTGCGGGGGGGCCGAATGCGCGAGTTCCAGCCCTCCTTGGCGACCACCGGGCACATCGCCAGGGTGGGATTTGCATGTGTTGGAGTGCCTGGGGACGCCGGCCGGTTTCGGGTTGTGACATCTGTGTTTCGGGTGGCGATGAGCGTGGGGGGTAGGAGGGCGAGGATCCCCACGGCGGGATTGCCTGCTCCCCCCTTGGCGTGCACGCCCCAGTGAGCACCTACAGGGTCCAAACTCCTCGCTTTGCTTTTGAAGGCAAAGTTGAACAAAGGGATTGACCAGGCCCGTGGCCGAGATGGCCTGACCTGGAATTGTCCCTCGTCAGTGGCAGGGACTGGAAAAAGCCTGGGAAGTCTTGTGCCACTTGCTGATCCGGTGGGATAGCGATTTCGCTGAGGTCAGTGATTCATTTGCCTTAAAAAGGAAAAGGGGGGCCCTCGCACCTTGCGGGTGAGATTGGGCGGTGGGGTTGTACGAAAGGTGTGGGCGGCGGGACGCATCAGGGGCGTTTGGGGGTGTGGGCTGCTTGCCGATCCGCCAGAGTCGAATGGTACTCTCTTGGGTGGTGGCAATCGTCATGGGATTGGTGAACTAGCGCGGGGACGGTTTTTAACCCAAGGACATATTGAGCACGAGACCGTTTTGAAGAGGGAATGCGTTCAGTGTTGTGGTTGGATAAGTCTGGTCGCTTCTACCATAGAGGTTGGTCTTTTGTGGATTGCTGTGGGTGCGATTGATGCTTGTGATGCTGCTGGATGTGACACGTGAGTGACTTTCGCCAAAGTGGAGGCTGCTGGCCAGCCAGGCTTGCGTTTGGCCTTATTGAGTTGGCCCACCCCACCCCTAATTACCCGCCGCCATCGTCCTTCAAGTAAGAACAATGTTCTGTGCCAATAGACATGGGTTACAATACTGAACTGAACCCACCCGCACAAACCACCCCCTGTGCTCCCTGTTGTATGCCATGGTCAGGGAGGCAAAAACAACATAAACAGCATGGCAAGTGCCTCGTGCTTTGGGCAAGGCTGAGGTGGTCAATGCACAGAGACCAGCTGGTATTTGTGACAGCGCTGGCTGGGGTGGAGTATTGTTAGGAGATTGCATGTGACCAACAGGAAATATGTTCTGCCTATGGGCTCACAACTCCTGAGCAAATCGTGGGTGAGGCACTTCCCAATGCTCAAGCAAATGTACAGGAGTCTCCGGAGGTCATAGGAAAGAGCACAACACAGGACAGCATGAACACCAATCTGTCAACAGCAATCAAGCATGTACCGGGGGGCGTATGTTAGGGCACAGAAGCATACACGGCCATCAGCTTTCAAAGAAATCCACAGCACAGGGCAGCATGCATATTTATGAATCAATGCCAATGAATCGTGTGCTCTGGGGGTTCTAGTACGGCTTGGGAGCATGAACAGCCTTGAATTTTGCAAGCAGGATGTCCACGTGAGCAGAGGTGTGAGAATGTAGCTTGTTGCAAGCAGGACTTCGAGGAAGTGAACCGGACTGGCTCTCTGGAGGAAACGGAGGCGACCCCAGTTGAGGAGGAGTATGAAAGCGCTGACGCAGAGTCCCAGGATGGTGAATTGGATGAAGACGAGGAGGTCGTATCTCCATCAAAACGTGAGATCGCACGCCAAGAGCGTGAGCGGCTGCGCCTGCATGAGAGGCAGAAGCGAGAAGCACTGGAGGCTCTGCGCCGTGAGCAGAACGAAGATGTGGTGGAGGGTGAGTCAGCAAGGTCATCCCGTCGTCTGAATTACCTGCTCAAGCAGGCAGAGATCTTTCAGCACTTCGCACCACAGGCTGTTGGTCGGAGGACGGGTGCACGTGGGCAGGGAAGGCTGCAGAGCAGGTGTGCTGTGGGATCGATCCTTTGAGTACAAGTGTTTGACAGTGACAGGGCACATCTCCCTCACATTTTTTTAAGGCGGCGATTAGTAGAGTTCTGCACATGCTGTTTGTTCCTTGTTGTTGTTGGCGATGACTCTGCATGGGGTGTCGTCCTGTGCCGGCAGATATCTGAATGGGTTCACAACTTGCAAACGCATCCCTGGAGTGGGACTGGCATGTTCTTATCTCGAGACAATACATCTTGTTCATGAATTCAGGTGCCACCCCTCTTCAAACAGAAAAGATGTGGACATGGCACCAAATATAAATAGAAATAGCATGGTGGTGCACAGCCCACAAGATTGAGCGCCGGACAATGAACGAGGAATCCCAGGGAAATCAATCCAGTGTCTGTGCCAACCAAGAGTGTGTGCTTGCAAAGGACCCTATGCAAGGAAATCGGGAGGTATTTGTGTTGTCGCTACTAGAAAGCGCAGATGTTTGTGCCTCGTTCTTGCTGTGCAACTGGGCAGCCTGCTTCATATGCTGAAAACCCACTGTTGTATCTCTCCACAGTTGTCAAAGCCTGCAAGGCACAGGGGCTGTGTTTGTGTTGGTTGTTCTGACAAATGCAGTTCATGAAATTTCGCAGCTGTTGTCTGCACTGGTTTCCCAGTGACTCCACTTTGTGAAATATGTCATGGTGTTGTGAGGCTTTCTTGTACTGCAGCACTGCTTATTTCATGGTGACGCCAAAGAAAGCAATGTACACAGGTTCATGTCTGTTGTTGTTAGCGTCACATGACCAATTCTAGGTTGGGCCTCGCCCTGTTGCAACGGCATGGCGATGCCCATGTGTTGTGGGCCATGTCTCCTTGCACTCACAGACATCTATATCGTCGTCTTTGGCAAGGAAAGAATCCCAAATATTTCTTGCTCGGGATGAGGTTAGAAAGTCCCCAGTGTTTGGTATGCCTTCCGTTCTGTTAACAACCGGTCCCTGTATTCCTCACAACTTTGTTCATGGTCGCATGGAGGATGCAAACCATTTGAATGAATGAATGCATCTATTACAGCAGTGAGGACAACAGCAAACTGACCACAGGTGTGTTTTTCTTGGTGCAGATTTTCAGGCAATGGCCGTATTCTTCAGCAGTAGTTTATATTTTTCATTTGTTGTATTGTGCTTTGACTTTCGTTGCTCACAATGTTTGGTAAAAGAGAATGCGTTTGATTGCCTTTGCCAAATGGGACAGGTGCACCGAAGAGCTGGAAGATAAGGAACTACTGCAGGATGAGGAGGACGGTGGAGAGGCTGCAGGCCACAGGCTGCTCGCTCAGCCTGCATCAATCAAGGGTGGCAAGATGAGAGACTATCAGCTGCAGGGCCTGAACTGGCTGATCCATCTGTACCAGAATGGCATCAATGGAATCCTGGCAGACGAGATGGGCCTTGGTGAGTGTCTGCAAAGAATGGGGCATCCAATAGGTGCTGAAGTTATTCAGCTGAAAAGGTTGCCTCCTTTCAGTAGTTGGTGTTCCCCAAACCCCAACCCAAGCCAGAAAAGGCACAAGGTTGTTAGGGAAATGGATTCATGTTCAGTATAATGTTAGCAATTATGCAACATTTGTAGTGATAGCAGTGTCAGCATAAAGTCACAGCAGGAAAATGCATCCACTAACCCCTGCCAAGTCCTGACGTATTTCTTTGTCCACCTTTGTCAAGATGGATTGCCATGCCCATGTCACGACAAGTCAGTGAACCACTTCTATTATTTGCATTGCGTGCTCGCAACAGGGCAATTCTTCAGTTCCACTATCCATCATTCGTCCGTTCTCATTGCCTGCTGCTCTATTGCTGCAGTACCCCCACCCACACGCGCACCACCACATCTCGCTTGCCAAGGGGATTCACCCCCTCCACGTTGTTGGACCTGGACCTGGCTGCTGGGTTTCTGGGCAAACACTGCCTGCATGGTATCTGCTGCCCGCCATGTGCCCGATATAGCCTAGTTGCTCCCAGGGCTTGATGCACTTGGTGCAGTGTTGTAGCATCCTGACACACACCACCACCACCACCCTACTTGCCCCATCTGTGCCCCATCCACATGGTTGTAACATCTTGACACACACCACCACTGCCACCCTACTTGCCCCAACTGAGCCCCATCCACTCAAAGGGGAAATAGAACAACATTGTGGAACAAACATTGCAGATTGATTTCTGGCCATGGTTGCCTTGCAGCTGCCAGGGCAGCTCCATGCAGCATGAAGTTGCAGTATTCATGGCGTGCTTGAATCTTTTCCTGTCCCCAGGGCTTTCCTGCCAGGGCTGTTTCCCAATCTGAGAGGCTGTTCGCAATGTGCAAGTGGTCCTCCCAAACTTCTAGTCGAGTGAGAACTGAACATCCAGCTGACTTGATCATTGTGGCCTCACCAGTGACCTCATCGTCACCTCACCAAAAGAGGGTTGTGAATCAAAGACGAAGGGCAAAAGATTGATGATAATTTTGATGGTTGGCAACAAGCATGGAAACAATGCTTATCAGAGGATTGCGCCAATACTTGAAGCTGCCTTCGACGAGACAAACCAGTGCCCTTGCACCTTGCAGGCGATGATGGGCATTTATATATACAAGAACATGTGTACATCCCACATCCATGCATTTTATCCGCTTGCCACCCATGTGGTCAGACATTGGCCGCCTGATGTATGACCTGAGCCTATCAGAAGATTACACTCATCAGGGACGGAAAATTGACGACTGCTTTGCAATGTTTGCAGGCAAGACCCTACAGACGATATCACTCCTCGGATACCTTAATGAGTTCCGGGGCATAACAGGACCCCACCTGGTGATCGTTCCCAAGTCCACTCTACACAACTGGATAAACGAGTTCAAGCGGTGGTGCCCCATGATCAACGCTGTGAAGTTCCATGGGAACCAGGATCAGCGGGCGGAACAGCGGCGTGAGCTCCTCCAGCCTGGCAGGTTCGACCTTGCTGTCCTTCTCTTCTGTTGTGGCACAAGGCGAACAGTCATATCATGTGTCATTGACTATGTTATTTGTTCTGAATTTGGCTTAATTCAGCAGTGCTTGTTATTGCCAACACGTTGTTCACACCACTTGTACACAGAGCTATTCTTGGCAGCTGTTTTGTTGTTTCTAGCCAACTGATGTGTGTGACCAATGTTGTTCTAATTTCATGATGGCCATTGCCAGGTTTGATGTTTGTGTCACATCCTACGAGATGGTAATCAAAGAGAAGGGCCACTTGCGGAGGTTCCACTGGCGTTACATCATAATCGATGAGGCCCACCGCATCAAGAATGAGAACTCCCTCCTCTCGAAGGTTGAATTGACATTCTTTTTTTAAAATGAATGCACCCACTCACGATTCAATCCACAGTTCCCATTCTCACTCCTGTTCAGTTGATATTCCCGCAGAACAAGATAAGTAGGTGGACCATTCTAGCCACAGTTACTCATTTGTGCTTCTAACAGAAGAACAATGCAGTCCGCACTTGCGTTGTTCATGCTCATTTGTATTTGCACTTATTCGCAATATGTGTTGCAATAATGCCAAATCGTTCCCTATATTGGCATAGCTTCATGCTTCATTTGTCTTTGAGAAGTCTAATTCGCCGCTGATCACTGATGCCCGCCTGTCACAGGTTCCCGATTGTAGCTAATTGCTATTCCCAGCATTACCTGCTCTTTAGGACCCTGTATTGGACATTTATGTACATTCTGACTTGAACACAGACTCTGGACATTGTGCAATATTTAACCTTTACCCAGGTCTGATTGCTGCAAAGTTGGATATATCTGTTAAGAATGCCATGACCTCAAAAGGGTGGTTCGCTCAGGAAGCTGGATGCTGGCACTGATCCATGTCCACCCACCCGCTGGAACACAAACTTTATCTAAGTCGATTCTGTGAACTCTGCACCAAATTATCAGACTGATGAAAGGGCTTGCGTTGTCGTGTTTTGGCAAATGTACTTGCTCAGATAGCTTCAGTGCATGTGCTCTCCATGTCTGTGTCTGCATTTGACAGTTATTATTCCAACACTGCGACCCCCTCTGCCCGTTGTGTCCCAGCTTTCTCCCAATCACCATTCCCAACGCTGTCTCCTCTTTGCAATTTCTTTCCTCTCCACCAATCAGCATTTTCAGTTCTGTGCACTCTTCACATCCCTGTCTCTCCTTTCTCCCTATTTCCGTACCTAACACCCTGTGCACCTTGTTTGCAGGTCGTTCGCCTGCTGAGGACCAACTACAGGCTGCTGATCACGGGAACTCCCTTGCAGAACAACCTGCACGAGCTTTGGGCGCTGCTGAACTTCCTGCTGCCGGAAGTGTTTGCCTCTGCGGAGCGCTTTGAGGAGTGGTTCAACCTTGAGGAAGGGGGCAAAGAGAAGGAGGCTGAGGTTGTGCAGCAGCTCCACAAGGTGACTGTTATTGTATCCTATACGTAAATTGTGTACAATGGATCGTGTTGAACAGTTAAGTGTCATTCTACAGGATGATAAAGCACTCTTCTTGTAGAACAGTAGAGGTGATTAAGGTCGTTATTCCATTTGCAGTGCTCGTTCAAAGCTGTACTATTGTGTTTGTTCATTTGCATAATGGTGTTGAGCTGACTGCCGTTCTTTCTGTTCAATTGGTGTTTTTGTTGCTTACTTAGTTAGCCAATTTCGAGTAGTTGATTCTTTCCATTGTGAAGCTGAACCAATTTGTGGGCCATGTTTGCAAGCATGGGAGTGGTTGTGTGCTATGAAAGAGGCCAAGGTTGTGCAACGGCTCCACATGGTTGTGGCCCCCTGTGTTTTCCTTTTTAACAGTGGGATACAGGTTCACAGTGAGCAGACCAGCAATGATAAGAGATGATTGTGTGAGATTATTTTCCACAGTGTGCAGATGATACAAATGTTCCTGAATGCACGTGCTGATTCTTTCGATTCCATGTTTTTCACACCAAATCGTTCCGATGCATATGCAAAGGAAAGGCTTCCTGCGACCAAAGAATGAATGAAGCACCAGATAGGATGCACCAGTCAAAATAGCTGCTGGTGAAAATCTGAGATCAGGAAAGTCAATAGATGGCGCCTAAACCATGAACAGCTGTTGTTGATTCAGCTCTTGGCCTTCAGGCAAAGTTGGCAAAACGGGAAAAGGTGAGCAAAATACCAAAAAAAACTCAAACAGCAGAGAAATGAGAACAGGTGGGACAAACTTTGAAAGAAAGCTTGGAATTTGCAGCCTGGCCTTGTACCCATTTCACTCAAGAGTCGCTAACTTTTGGCATTTGCTCACGCAGGTGCTTAGGCCATTCTTGCTGCGTCGTGTGAAGTCTGATGTGGAACGTGGCCTGCCGCCCAAGAAGGAGGCGATTCTGAAGATCGGCATGTCGGCGATGCAACGAAAGTGGTATGCAGCCATCCTGCAGAAGGACATCGGCGCCATCAATGGCGGGGCCGACAGGTCGAGGCTGCTGAACATCGTGATGCAGCTACGCAAATGCTGCAACCATCCATACCTGTTCCAGGTACTTTGAGCGCTTGTTGGCACTGTCACCACTGCACATGCCATAGCACAGTGTGATGTTGCTGCATCTGGTCATTGTATGTGTGATCATGACCACATGCCCAACTGTGCTCAGCAACATCTTACCCAGCATGATTTGGTGTGCAATCGGTTTGTTGCTAGCAAGTGTGGATAGGTTGAACAATGTTCACTGGAATAATTTTTTGAACAGTTAGTTGATTGGTTGACAGAATGATGTAGTTCACCTTGCTGTGGGACGCTCAGTTCCATTTTGCTGAGTTGTTGCAGATTGTGCGAGTGATCTGTGGGTTGTTGACTGTGACATTGATTCTTATGTCTTCTTGCAATTTGCATTGCAACTGCTTACTAATGCTACCTGCATTATGCACTTGTAGGAGCATCATATTTGTAATACTGGAAACTGCAACTTACAATTATACTGCAACTTGCACTTGCATGTTGTTACTTCTCACGTTGCTTATCACTATCTTACATATTAAATGTGATGTTTAATTGCATCATGCGTTGTTGTTGATAATTTTCAACCTGTTGTAGGGTGCTGAGCCAGGTCCCCCATTCACCACTGACGAGCACCTCATCGAGACATCTGGCAAGATGGTCCTCCTGGACAAACTCTTGGTCAAGCTGAAGGCCCGCAACTCCAGGGTCCTCATCTTCTCCCAGATGACCCGAGCACTTGATATCCTGGAAGACTACTGCCTGTTTCGTGGCCATGCGTACTGCCGAATCGATGGCAGCACGAGTGGTGATGAAAGGGAAGCAGCCATCGATGACTTCAACAGGGAGGGCAGCGAGAAGTTTGTGTTTCTGCTGTCCACTCGGGCGGGTGGCCTGGGGATTAACTTGGCGACAGCGGATGTGGTGATTTTGTATGATAGTGACTGGAACCCGCAGATGGATCTGCAGGCGATGGATCGGGCACACAGGATCGGGCAGAAGAAGGAGGTGCAGGTCCTGAGGTTCTGCATCGAAAACTCCATTGAGGAAAAGGTGGGCTGGACTGGACAGAAATGAAACTGAATTGTTGTGCTTTAAAGTGAGCTACTGTGTACCAATTGAACTGCACGCTGCTATGAAATCGGTGGAATGTGGGCATCAAGGAATCACTGGCCAAGCTGTACTGATGATCCTTGAGTAGCGGATGGAGTGAGATGAATTCATGCTACACATCGCAGTCAGGCCATCAGGCTTGTTGCATGGACAAGCTAAGCAAATGCCTAGCTCCTGAAAGGCATAGATGGGTGCAGCAACATCCAGCTTATGTTTGTCCATCCTCCCTAGGCTCTGTGTGTGTTTGTGTGTGTGTGTGTGTGTTTGATCCAGAAATGCACATACACATGCGTGCAACAATGAGTTGCTCATGCACTGTAGCCCATCTGTGCTGCAGGTGATCGAGAAGGCATACAAGAAGCTGCGCCTGGATGCGCTGGTCATACAGCAGGGCCGCCTGACGGAGACCAATAAGAACAAGGTGGGTGAAAATTGGCAAAAGCGCATAGAATAACGTGGCACAACAGGGCAGTAATAAAGCCCTCCAGACTAGAGCCAAAAGGCAGTAAGCCACATGTATTGAATGTGTGTTTTAAGTAGATGACACTGGCACAACAGAGGACCTGCAGTGGCAAATAATTGAAAGTCAACACATTTCATGGACACAGGCAAGCAGAATGCGAAGGCCAAACGGATCAGACAGTGGTGTTTGAGGACAATGACAGTGACAGGAGCCCTGTCAGGCAGAGCACAGTGTTTTCTATTGTCCAAATCTCTTTGAAATCTGAAAAGCTGATTTTGTGCATCCAACTCATGCAGTTGTTCAATATGCAGCACATTCTGTACTTTTCCATGCTACCCGGTGCAGCTACACATTTTTGGTATTTCCTTCTGGCCTATAATATAGGAGTAGTTGCATCCATCGTTCCCAGCAGTGTGTGGTGAGGGGCAACTTCTGCTGGTCGCAGGTGAGCAAGGAGGACCTGCTGTCCATGGTTCGCTACGGTGCCGAGCTCGTGTTCAAGTCAGATGCGGCCGCGATCACTGAGGCTGACATCGACGCGATCATCGCAAAGGGTGAAAAGGACACCAAGGAGCTCAACGAAAAAATGTCGGAATTCACTGAGAACGCGATGAAGTTCACGCTGGATGGGGGGCTGTCTGTGTATGACTACAAGACGCAGGAGGAGGCCGAGAAGGTAAGAAGGGGATCGTGCGCTGAGGGGCCTGAAAGGCAAGGCATTGCAGGGCTACTGTACTGAATACCTTGGAACTGTAACTGCTACATGCCGCAGGGTGTTGTTTGAAGAACAGTAGTCTATTTGAACCTGTTAGTTTTGCTATAAGTCTATGAGCATAAATGTTGGTAATATGAAAATCTTAAATGGATATCTCGTGTGCTCAGCATGGAGCAACATCAAGTTCAATCACATGCAGGGTTTCTGGCTTATCGGTGTATCAGACAGGACAACATGGTCTTCAAGCGCTGTGAACACTCCAAGTTTTGAGAAGCTTTATATCACCTTGTACTTGTGAGGTGGTGCAAGGCACACAGCTCCTTGTTAGCACGGGGTTTGGCACCTGTACTCTAAATTGTGATGCAATATTGTGGAATCAAAACAAGATCAAACACCTTGACCTTCGTCAGTGAGGTGAAAGGGCACTGAGGATGGAATTGCGTTGCTGTGAACTTTTGCCGAAAGCCACTTGCAAAGCCTATCTGTTCACACTTCTTTGTCTGTTCATTCCATTTCAATATGTGTTGTTCATTCTACGTTTTATGCTACTTTAGTTCTTGTTTTGTGGTTATTGTTATGTTCTTCACTTGCCATCTTGTGCGAAATCCAGGCCAGTGGGGACATCGACCTGAAGCACCTGATTGGCGAGAATTGGATAGACCCACCAAAGCGTGACAGGAAACGTGTCCTAAACTATTCGGAGAACAACCAGGGTAGGAGTAGGGCAGACAGGCCCACGGGCCCACGCCTGCCCAAGATGCCCAACCTCCAGGACTTCCAATTCTTTGATGTGCCAAGGCTGACTGAACTGTTGGAGAAGGAGAATAGCTACGAACTGTTTAAGTACAGGCAGAGGCAGAAGGAGGAGCATGCTGCGGGGCAGGGGGCCTCGGAGGGGACACTGCAGGTGAGCAGACGAGTTTCATGAATTTTCAAGAGTTTCATTAGCAACTGGTTGATCAACTGCGAGAGCATGTCTCGTTCCACCTTTTGCTGCGGTTTCCGATGTGCAGTATGCGAACATTGCTGTATTGTCATACACGACACACACACAATACAATAATCATGTGTGATGCATTGATAGTGTGCAAAGCAACCTTCTTCATCTGTGTGCTGCACCATGCCACTCGTCTTGCAGTACAGCTCAGTTGAGCTGCAAAAGCTGTAACGTGTGGCATGCTTGAGTTCACAGAGAGAGGGTGAGCATGTCATGAAACAGACAGCCACAGATGGGAAGTTGCCAGCAGGTGAATGAACAATGTGTAAATAATAGTGACAATCACATATACAGCAATTGGTAATAACTATTTGTACAAAACTGCACTGTGCAGTACTGCATTGTACTGTTATGTGCTTTACTGTACTGTACTTTACTGTGCTGCACTGTGCTGTTATGTGCCTGTGTGAACCACTGGTACATATTGGACTGGAGTGGGCAGTTGGACTGGAGTGTGCAGTGCTATAGTGCCTTGTACTGTATTGCCCTGCACTTGGCAGTACTGTGCCATATCTTTCTTTGTGATGCAGCATTGCCCTTATTTGAGTCCGTTGTGCACCACAGTCCCTGCTGGCGCCCGGCCCTGACGACCCACAGCCCCTGAGCCCTGAGGAAGTCGCAGAGAAAGAGCGGCTGCTTCAGGAGGGCTTCACAAACTGGAACCGACGTGACTTCAATGCGTTTGTGAGAGCATGTGAGAAGTACGGAAGGCGTGACGTGGCCAGCGTCGCACAGGAGATCGAGGGGAAGACTCCAGAAGAGGTAAATTCCAGTCAAAATCCAAATGAAACCAATGATCAGGTTTTGAGAAGTGTGGATGATTTTGTGCAATTTTGCCATTTTATGTTATTTTGTATCTTATGTGTCATGTTCTTGTGATTTTACGTCAGTAGGTATCAGCTGTCAGAGTAGGCAAAACTATCAAAGCATCAGGCGAAAGGCTGAAAAAAAGACGGAGAAAAATTTGTGAAGGACACAGAAGGATCCAGTCCCTGGGCGTCCAATTTCCCAACACAATTGATCCATACACCTCCCTGGCCACCCAGGAGGTGAGGGGCCAGCTTTCACTGACGTTGAATCTGGCTGTGGTGGGTTTATTTAGGGTGTGTAGGCTTCTCAGGGTGTGCTTGTGTTGTTTGTTTGTTCCTTACATGGATGCACTGACATGACATCACAGCTTGGATCAATGCAGCATGCCAATCCAGTGTGCGAGGGGCACCTCTGGGCCCACCTACACAACCACAAACGTGCCTCTGATGGCGGCCACAGGGGGCTTTTGATTGTTCTCAGTAGAATGCAGAGGAAGCCTGCATCTCAACAGGTGGCAGGCAAGTCTGTTGACACCATTGGTTAGTGTTGTAGGGCCATTCCCAAACTTTGCCAGAGAGCATTTGTTTCAGTTCGCTGTGCGCTATTTTCTGTTTTTTTTTGTACACATATTATGTACATCTGCTTTCTTATGTACAACAGTACATCAGCTTTCTGTTCCGAAATTTTCATCGCGGTTGAGATTCCATGGCAGCCAGTTGAAGCCTAGAGCAGTCGGGACAACGTTGAAGCACTGTTGTCTGTTGTTGCAGCTGACCCCTCGTTCTTAGCTGGTGGCTTGATCTTTGGGTTGAATGCACACAAACCACCAAGCAGACCACAGTTGCAGCAAGAAAACCACACTCCAAATTCGAATCTGAATTCCTTTGTTTAGATTGGCTTTAAAAGGCCAATCGAATGCCAGGCCTCATGGGCGCTGTGTGAGCAGGTGAAGGAGTATGCAAAGGTGTTCTGGAAGCGTGTTGAGGAGCTGAATGACTGGGAGCGCATCGTGAAGAATGTTGAGCGTGGGGAGTACAAAATCAAGAGGCAGCGCAACATAATGAAAGCCTTAGTGGCAAAGTTGGATAGGTGGGGCAGAATCGTGAATGTTTGACAGTAGAAATGGGCTCACAAAGCTTCAAATTGAAAGTAATTGATGGACAGCACTCTGAACCGTCGAAATTTTGCTACGTACTTATTGTCGAGTGTTTTTGCTATTCTGCTATTTGGCTTCATCTTGGTTAAATGAATATTTTCAATTCGAAATAGTGTTGAAACTTGGCAGAAGAATGCGAATGCGGAAGTGAAGCTGACACAAGTGACCACCAGAAGGTCCACTGGACAATGTGACGAAAAGTGCGACGCATGCAATTTAGAACAATGGAATTTAGAACACGCAGTACAATACACTGCAGCAAGGTATAGTACACGACAGTCCACTGCAGTGCAATACTAGCAGCACAGAAAAAATAGAGTATTGTAACCAGCAGGAAAGATAACGATCTCAAAATCTGTTCCCTGAACCAAGGGCTGTTGAACAACCGAAGCCGTCAGAAGTACCATTGAAGCATGCAGGTGTTGCAGCAATGTGCTACGCTAGCCGAGAAACACTGGTCAGTACTACAGCAATGTACCACAATGGTGTACTATGCTGTTTGTCTGTACTACAACAATGCACTGTGCTGCTCAGATGCACTTGTGTGGTCTGTGCAAAGGTACAAGAACCCATGGCTGGAGCTGAAAATCCCATACGGGGGCGGCAAGGGGAAGGTGTTCACGGAAGAGGAAGACAGGTTCCTTGTTTGTATGGTCAACAAATGTGGCTATGGCGCTTGGGATGCCCTCAAGGCGGAATTGCGGAAATGTTGGCGATTCAGGTTGGATGGATGCAAAGTTGCGCTGTGACAACATTTCATTCACAGCGAAGAATGGACATATGTTAGCAGCTGGTAACATTTGCCGTTAAGCTATTTGGTGGTGATGCCATCGTCCTTGTGATCAGGTGGCTGGACCCTGAGGCTTGATTGACTTCATCGTAATTTAAGGTGTTGGCTTTAGCTGCCATATGCTACTAACCAAAACATGACCTTGGCTCCGCTCAGTCCAACAACTAGTTTCGAGCCTATCAAAACCTCAGAATCCTTGCCCTGCCTTTCCAGGACCATATCAATCCGGCCATCGGCTCTGGCGCAAACACCAACGACAGCGCAACCACGAGCATGAGGCTCGTGTTCCAAGTCTACATTCCATCACTCGTCTGAATCTTAAACCTTGGATTCCATGTTGATTCTTTCTCCCCAAGCAGAAATCCTTTGCGCTGCAGGTTCGATTGGTTCTTCAAGAGTCGAACCCCCCAGGAGCTGGCGCGGCGGGTGGACACCCTCATACGCATGATCGAAAAGGAGAACGAGGAGATAGAGGCGGAGGAGCGGGAGGAGCGGAAGAAGGTGGGTGGCAAGCGCGCGGGGGGGAGCAGCTCCAAAGTGCACGACAGTGCGGCCAGCTCCAAGAAACGGCGGGCGCCGAGCAGCAGGGGCGGGATTTCGGCAAAGAAGCAAAAGTGAGGGGAGGACGTGGGGCTGCGGGTACTGCCGAAAGATGTGGGAGTGATGGAGTGGTGCGTGTGCGCCGGCACGGTGCGAACATGCGCCCGCATGAATGACAGCGGCAGCCAGGAGCATGGGGATTGTGTCAGGCACATGCGGCAACTAGTACTTAATACTTAGTACCAAGTGAGTGCTGCTTTGGAACGGCCCGGTGGGGGCTTTTATGGCGTATGGAACGCTCTTAAGGCGAATTTCCTGCCAGTCCTGTACGCTGTGATGTGAGCACATGGCTCAGTATTCTGCGGTTTGCATTGTTAGTTAGAGGTTGGCAGCGATGGTGGTGTTGGTTGCCGCCAGCTCCGTGTTGAGCGAAAAAAGATTGGCTTCACAAGAAAGGCAAAAGAACGTTTGTTTCAAGGGAATGGGTGGAGTATACCAATGCGTTTGTCCTGTTTTCGTCAGCCAATTTCGTTTATTTTATGTGCAATGGAGAACGGTGTAAAGCACATGAGGAATTCAGCAAACGGTCTCATTGCTGTAACAGTTGAACTATTGAATGATAATCAGTCAATTGTTGCTGTACTCTCAACCCTGCTATTGTTGAACTGCGCATCCACTGGATATTGCAAGAAGCTTGAACGTACAGCTGAGCATCGTTCGATCAATTTCAGGTGACATTGCATTCGACTGGTGTCGTCCACCACTGGTCCACCACCTGCATCGGAGGCTCCATATCATCTTTTCACAGCATGGAAAAGAGCCTCACATACACTTGCCAATGAGGGTTTGGCCATTGTGTGACCTGTTTCTCTTTCTCTTTCGCAACAAATCTTACAACCTTCCACCTCACCTTGCAGGCCAGTTGCTGGTTGAGTGCAAGATAAGGTTCGCAATCCAGACGAAGCCAAACAAGGATTGAATTCTAGCACCGACATAAGGATTGACATTGTGGAGGGAAGGGGTCGCTGACCTTGGCTTTGCTTTGACGCAGAGCGCACCAGGATGGGCAGAGTTCGGTTCCTCAGTGCCATTAAGAATCGCTAGGAAATTCTTTCACAGCGTCAGGAGCAAAAACCTCCAAACTGTGTTGGTTGCGAAGTTCAAGGGACCCAACCAGCTGCAAGAAAGTGGCGCAAGCACGCGCTGCAGCGTGCTTGGTTAATTTTTCCCAAAGAGTTTAGGCACGTAGCAGAAAGTTCTCATGAGAACAATAAAGAAATAATGGCAGTAAGAGAAAAGATTTGGCACACAGCTCCCTCTACCAGCAAATACATTGCAAATTTGCGATGTCGTATTTTTAGTGAAACAAACGTCATTTCTTGGCATAAACAAAACAATTGGTGATCTCCGATGGCCATTAGCGACTACTCAAAATCACCAAAAGTATCACGCATGAACGAAGTATGATTACTCTGTGTTGACACCTCCAGATAGCATGAAAATTTTTGACGATACGAACATAACACGCTAGACAGTGCAACATAGTACTGTACATCGTACATGGTATTTTACTTGCAGCCTTAACTTCAGATCGTTTGAAAAATGCTCAATGGTAAACTGGCTTTGGAGCAAGGTAAGGCCAGATGCTGGTGACAATGGCACTTGATCGATGGCAGAACAACAGCATCGTTGAACAGTCACTGCCCCAGATGAAGTCCTTTTGGTGCAAGGAGAAGGCGCACGGTGTTCCAAGTCTCCATCGCCGGGTGTGACTGCCTGCAACGTATGGTCCAGCCCATGTGTCGGACCCAACAGGCCTGAGGAGCTACATTACGATCCAGGCTTGGATCAGCATCCACTGCTGCAGCATACCGCCGTGCAGCGAAGCTGTGCAGCAGCAGCACCCTTTGTGAAGATTATGACTCATGATTTGCCAGTTGATCAGTCGGAAAGGTGAGCACCCACACCATGTTCTCAGCTGGTCGCTGCAGTGACTGTCGACCAGGGGAAGGTATTGAGGCTCCTTGGGGGCCGGGATTCATCCATGGAGCGAGTATGGAGCGGCCAAGGGTAAACTGACTCATTGGAGATATACCAGGTGCCGTACGTGCGGGGAGACCTAAGAGTGATCCCCGTCGACGGGGATCAGTGAGCTCTTCGCTGTGTACCGCCATTCAGGAGGGGCGAAGCAGAACCGAGCGAAATCAGTGGTGTAAAGCAGGCAGGCCCGATTTTCTTATGTCGTTGAAAAGATAAAGCCTCAGCATCAACATAACTAAAAAGTTGAAGCCTCAAAGTCAACACGCACTGAAATTAATGGCACTACATGGAAAGGAATACTAGACGATTAGCATATCATCATTTGCCTTGTTGTCTTTGAGTCATCACCGCCTACCCGGAAAATCCCTCGGCTGGTAAATTCCCGAGAGTGCAGAGTACTTCCCCGATCTTTTTAGCTCAGGTTCGTCAGTACCTTTTTGTGTAGGTGTTAGGGCGCATCAACAACATCAAAGACTGGGAAGTTCACCAAAAACACCGGACGAGTTAACAGCTGCCGACATGCCGCACGGACGGCACTCATCCACGCAGGTTCTCGACTCGAGAGTCTCGAGGCCAGCGGACATCGCCGCTACCAGATTCAGAACGTATGGTAGGAATCTGACCTTTCCCATCCAAGCACGCGGTCCAACACATCGGCCGCCGCTTGTGTTTCGAAAAGGTTTATCAACAGTGGCGGACTGCACAGCGGTTGGAGGTTGGCTAAGCCGAACGCAGCACTGGCCGACCGTAGTGCGGCGACGCTTGTTGCAATTTCGCCGCACAGCTTCCCTCCGAATTATTCAACGCGGCTGAATGGTTGCGCATTTCATTTGTGAAGACGCATACGAGCGGCCGCGAGACGACTCGCAAAAAATGCTGGCCATATCTGCGGTGGCCTTCCTGAGGATCCGCAGCAGAAGCATGCCCGTCATACCGCGCATGGTTTCCGAATCGACCAATACACGTCGATCGAATCGGACCTAACGGCGGCAAGCGGAGAAGATGTGGAGCTCCCGTCGCCAGCCTTTCGAAGCGACTGGGGGCGCCGGCGGCCGTCGCGAATGCGCTGCCCGTGCCCGGTCGACGGGATTCCACCCACACAAAAACCTTGATCGACGGTCCTCGAACGTGCAGCCAATAATCCTTGCACGGCAACGGGGAACACCGACCCGGAAATTCGCTCGAGCACCTTGCGGGGAGCGCCACCCCCCTCGCACCCAAGCCCTTCGCCGCCTGGTGTGCTCTCCTGCGTTCAGCCGCGCAGGCTGACGCTGGCATGCACCCACCGCGCATAAACCCCCCACCCTCGCAAACCGCGGGCGGAAAATTCCATGGCGCCCTGTTTACCACCACTTTCCACGAAAGTCTACAGATGCCCCACACGTCACCCGCCCCCCTTCCCCTTTCCTTGCTGACTGCCAATCCACCCACTAAGCCTCCCTCCCCGTCCCTGGCCTACCAAACCGGCCCCCCCCCCACCTTCAACTTGGACGCCGCCCCGCCTTGTCGAGTTGTGCACGCCCAGCGGGGCTCAAACCCAAGCGCCCCAGGCCCACCCCACGGGACCCGTCCTTCCCACCCCCACTCTCCGGATACAACAGCTCCACCCACGGCCTCCATCCATCGGCCAACAGCTTTGCGCTCGACCACCATCCTCCAGGGCACCAGTGCGTCTAGGGCATCGAGATTTGCCCCCGGGAAGGAAAGTGTCCAAAAGAGGCGGCCGGAAAGCCGTCGAGCCGGTCAGCGTGGCACGTGGCGCGGTCAGGGTGCGCCGTCCTGTTGGCAGTTCCGGGGAACGCAGCGGTTCATCTGCGCCAGGTGTCGCGGGGCAACCACATGGCGGGGCTACCGTCGCAGGTGGGTGGGGCGTCCGGGGCTGCGGCGGGCGGGTCGCCGGGGGGGAGGGGGAAGCTGTGTGGGATCGCGCGTCTGGTCAGTCCTGGAGGAATCGCTCGCAAACCCGCCTGGTACGCAGTCCATCTTGGCATTGCGCCTGCCGCCCAGCGACGTCAGCTGACGTTCGCGCGCCTTTGGCCCGCCGCAGGCGCACGACAGGCAGGGTTGTGCATTAAATCGTGGGCGCTGAATTGGCGCGCGTGGCGGGACGGCTGCTGTGCCCTCCATGTGACTCGACAAGGGCGTGGTTGCCGCGATCTGGGGACAGGGGTCGCTGGGCGCGGGCAGCGGCCTCTGTATACAGCCAGGTGGCACCGTTCGACTAGGTCCGGTTCTCGAACGGGATGTGATGGGTTCGGATAGGATGCATGGGAAGGACTCCCGGTCAGAAGTTCAGAGAGGGAGAATTCCACGAATTGCGGGAATTCCAAGCACCTGTCACTCTCGTATTATCCTTGCGCCACCGTCGCGCGCGACGTTGCGCCTTGATTGAAGTTGGACCGTCTCGGCCGAGCAGCGCTTGATGCTGCAGTTCGTTTGCCACAGTTAGGCCAAATTCGACGTTGGGTTGTCGTGAGGCTCGTGTGGGGAATGCAGCTTGCAGTCAAGCTTGCGGGCTGCGAGGGCGGGCACCAGTGTATTGCGCACGGAAATATCAAACAGGAAAAATCGTGGGGTCTCTCCTAATACACCATCCATTGCAGTGCTCCAGGCACCCATTCCTTTTCTTCGTTTGCTGCTTAAAGTCAGTATGATGCAAGGTGCACTCCCTTGAAGGCAGGCATTGTATCCTAGAGTGCTGTACACAGAGCGGGAGTTGGTGGCGATCACCCTATATTTATGCCTTGTACGCCCTGCCGAGCCTCTCACTTTCTGGCTGTTTGCAGGATGTGGAGTATGACTACCGGCTTGGGGACCCGATGTGCACGAGCACAGACAGTGATAGACAGGCATACATGCTGCGTATGGCTCTGGAAATCGTCGCCATCACTCTTTGCAGTTGGATATGCGTGTGGCTCATCAGTCGCAACGAGCATGGGGGTGGTGAACAGAATGAAGCTCTTCGGCTGCTTGAGGGAAGTTTGAGAAGGGCTGCAGTTGAGGAGGCAGACCTGCGATCCAGGGTGGAAACTTGGCAGGAGAAGGCGGGAGTGGCTGAACTGGATAATATTCGGCTCACTAAACTTGCTGACGGGTACGAACTGCGTGCCAAGACAGCAGAGGACTGTTTGGCAGACATGCAGGATGCAAGAATGGAGCTGATGGACGAGGTTGCATTGAAGACATCGGAGATAGCGGAGGCCCAGAAGAAGCAGGAAATTCTTGAGGCCTTTTCCAAAGAGCAGGCTGAGCGTATCGCTGAGATCACAATCCAGCTCACAGCTGCCCAGGTGGAGTCCGGTCAGTCGCAAGACAAGGTGGAGCAGCTTCAAGCAGAGAGGGTGATAATCTCGACCAAACTTGGCAAGATAACATCTGGGAAGAAGATCCCACAAGTGGTGGAGGTCAGGTCACTGCTGGCAGCTGCCGAGCAGGACATAGCACACCAGAGACAGAAGGTGTCAGACCTCGAAAAGGATCAGAAGAGCGTGCTGGAGAAAGCGGACAGTCTGATGGGTCACGCAAAGCAGCAGAGTGACACCTTCAACCAGTTGCTGGACCGATTGCAGGCTGCCGAAAGGCAGATTGAGATGTACCGTGCCAAGATTCACATTCTTGAGAGGTGAGTCAAAGAAATGGCACGTGATAGAGCTGTAGATCAAGTTTATCCCCCAAGCATACAATTTGGACAATTCTTGCTGGGATGTCTGCTTGTTCATCCAACACAACCGCCTACTTTTCCACCACATGTGTGCCTTTGCGCCATTGTGCCCTGAATACCCTCTCATTTGTGTTTTGTGTCTGCACAATCTGTGCTGGAATTGTATCTGGCCCCATTCCCTGTTTAGTCCCACGCTTGTTACCTTTCTGAGTGACTTCTTTCTGATTGCTTGGAGTGCTGTCCAGCAGGAGTGCAGCTTTTCATGGGCGTGGGTTTGAGAGCACCAGCAGCATGGATCCCATTTCAGCTCATGCACAGGCCACCAAGGGTGTATCTGCTGAGGCCAGCAAACTAAGCGACATTCCAAAAGAGCTGGACCCTGCGCAGCTGCCCAGTCTGGACACCCGTCAGGCTGATCATGCACCACCAGAAAGTGCCGGAGAGGCGCTTGTGGAGCTCGATCAAAGCTCTGAACCCGACTATCCAACAAGGGCTGAGACCCTTCCTCCTTCCCAGCAGCGTGAAACCAGCGACGACGGCCAACATCCACAGGCCTGAAAGGGCTTCTTGGGGAATGGACTGGTGTTCTGAGTCATCCTGGCTTCACACGGCTGCCGGAGACGGTGGTGTGCAGATGACGTACCCTCGCGCCCAGGGAAAGTCAGAGACGGCCAGGCGAACCTAAGCACACGATGATGTTCACAGCAGTACAAAGAAGGCCGACGAGATGGGGTGTGTGTAGCATACACCAATATCTGCCAGCCCCATGCGCAATTGACGGAGGGAGACTGTAGCAATATACTCTGGCTCCCCTAGGTCGCCAAACGGGCGACAGTATTGATTTCCGGACATTCAGGGCCACATTTGAGGTCCCTGTATGCCAACAGCGGTTCTCAACCAGTTGCATTGGATTTGGGCTGGGTCTGAGTTCGATACGTGCGGCGACAGCATCAGCCCTAGAAGAGGCGATAGATCCGATTGCTGCTGATTTCCCTGGCGTGTTTCTGGCGTTGCGCCACCACAGGTGAAATGCGACATGTGGGGCCGTTTACCAATGCGAATGTTGCATCACTTGCCGAAATTTTTATGATCGCCCTCGCATTTATCCCTTTAAAAAATATCTGCTTGCTTTGATTGCAGTCTCTCAGAGGGGAAGAACGTTCGCATAATGCAAATCGCAAGGTTCATTCGACTCGTCCGTGTGTCGGTGTGTCCATCCATCATTCGGAGGTGAGCCAAAAGTCGTTTGTTCCATTCCATTCACTGTTTGGGTTCCTACGCCACAGTATGTTTTCGTGTCCATTTGCTTGACTAGTGGTCCCGCTCTTGCCGACTCCCTCAAGACGTCCCACAGATTTGTCGTTCTAGGGCTATGCCCTTCTACACCAGACCACTCCTCCCACACACAGCCATTTTCCCAACTCATTTCTTTCCTTCATTCGATGCACGAATTTGATGGCACATTGCTAGAAGGAGCAGGCATAGGCTATGGAAGACAAGGGCGCCAAGCAAGAGGTGCTGGTCCGATGAGTCAATAAACAAGTGGGAAGTGCTGGATCCATTTTCGAAACAGCCGTACTACTGTAGTCTAGTGTTCCAAGTTATTAACATTGTCACTATCAGGTGGTTTCGTTGTTCGCGCTCCTCGCTCGCGCTCACACACGGTCGCTCCCAGGCACGGGAAGCAAGCCGCAACCAGATGGATTACAGAATGGTTCTGTCCGTCATGTAGCATTCACCGCAAGCATATTCAATTCATATATTTTCCGATCATTCTCCATGTCGCCATAATAAACACCGTACCCGATGCACCACACTCACTTAACTACTTATACACCTTTTCCTTATCCTCACACGCTTCCCTGCGCTAAATTGAAACATGACTCAAAATACCATCGGTTTAAACCATATCATGGTACGGCCGTATCATATCCGTATGTCTAATCCAGAGTTTCCCCTCGGGTCCCTTAACTTCCCACACCGAAGTCGTGATAGGACGAATCAACTGGCCCGGCCCTTTCCACCACGGCTCGAGCTTGTCCTTCAATGTTTCCACCTTCGTGTTCCACAGCCATACCCGGTCTCCTGCCTTGAACATTCGCGCGATGCGCCGCCCTCTCGTTCTGTGGTTCGCCATTTCTCGCTGCTGACGCGTATATTCACGCAACTGACTCCACACTTCCTGCGAGCTATTCCACAATTGCTCCGGCGACCCAAACGTGAACGAACTAGGGGTTTCTTTGCTCTCTTCTGGCGAAGATAGAGGTGTACCATTGTAGATATCCACCGCTCGCTCAACTGTCCTGGCAAAATACCTGGGTTGCTCCGCCCACATTCGCCGCAAACGATTCAATAAAGTTTGATTGAACCGTTCCACAAACCCGATAGAAGCGTGATGGTAGGGAGGAGAATACTCCTGCGTCACTCCCTCCTGCATGCACCATCGCCGCAATTCCTTGGACTGTGTAGCCTTGCAGACATCAGAACACAAAATTGAAGGTGCCCCCTGTGTTGCTACCCACTTCTTCAGTCCCCTCACAATATCAGCTCCCCCGGCACCAGCCGTTGCCCACGCCCCTGCCCGTCTGGTCAACATGTCCACAATAACAAGAACAAACCGCTTCTTCCCAACTTTTCTCTCCGGAAAAGGTCCCATAAAATCTAGGCCAATGACCTGCCCCGGCCTCTCCGGCACATGCCAACTGCCAAACGGGTTGGATGGTTGTGGTCGGTGAAACAACTGGCATTCCTTGCATGACCGCACTCTGTCCACCACCCATTTCCACTTTGGACGCAGGCCCATTTGGCGGAAACGAAGAAACGTTTTCTTTACTCCAAAATGCCCGGCATGAGCCTGCTTCCATTGTGCCTGGGATATAACTGGAGAGCGATGTTCTTCCACTGCGCGAACATGAGAAGGTCCCTGGATCCATGCCCCCTGGCGAGATAAAAAATCAGCGAGATAATTAAAAGGTCCCGGACAAAAAGAGATCTGAGGAGAGTACCAAGAGAGGAGATCCAGACGGCGTTTCAGAAAATCGCTAAGGTTAGCAGGATTGTTGAAGCTAACCGCAGCCTGGTTGTCCATAATTGCGTGAACAGGGGCCCCAAAGATCCAAGGCCGGAAGGTCCGAAGAGCTCGGCAGAGCGCCTCCAACTCCATAACGTTGCTGACATGGTGCTGAAAACCAGTAGACCATAGCCCATGAGCACAACGGACGATCTTACGGCCAGCAAGCAGAACCGCACCCCAACCAATCTTACTCGCATCAGTAATAACTGTGAAGGAACCAGCAGAAACAGAAGCAGGAATAGCACATCGAATGAAATGATGACGCAACAAGGAAAGAAAATGTTGCCATCGTTCTAAGGAAGGATGTGCTTGAACCTCCCGCAAAGCTGCCAACACGAGATGTCCCTTCCAAATGAAGCGAGCAGAATGATTCAACCAACCACGAATTCGACGCCAACCTGATTGGGTTGTAGGCATAGGCGCCTGCTCAAATTGAGTCAAAACCGAGGCTGTAGGTTGAAGCCCGGAAGAAGTCAAAGTGACACCCAGATACTCAAACCGGTCCTGGCAAAAGTGGCATTTGTCCCAGTTCACTCGCCACCCGTCTCTCGCCAACTCCTCAAATAAAATATCCATATCCCGCCTATGCTGGGACGTAGACTGTGAAAGTAAGAGAATATCATCCATATAAAAAATGATCTGGGAATGAATGCGGCGTGAAACTCGTCGAACAGTAGGCCACAAAGCTCGCAGAAATTCATGCGAGCTATTTGAATATCCAAAAGGCAAACGTGTGTACTCAAAGAACCGTCCTGCCACAGCCAATCCCACTGCGCGCCACAGGCGGGGAGCAAGCCGCACTTGCAGATAAGCGTTAGATAAATCCAAGGCTGAACCAATGCGAAATGGGCGCAATGAGGCTAAAGACATCTCCCGATGAACTGGCAGGAAAGGCTGATGCTGAATACATGAGTTGAATTTCCTAAAGTCCAGAACTAGCCGAGTGGAACCGTTCTTCTTGGGCACACCGAATGCCGGAATCACAAACGGCTCGTGGTCTACCTCACGTACTGCTCCAAGCTTCACTAACTTGAGAACTTCCTCTAACACCTTAGCTTCCTCCGCGGGCCCTGTCATGGGATTACGTGGCTGGGATTTCCATGGAAGCGGAAAGCGAAAGGGAAAGTGGCTAACCACATACGTGCGACACGTCCCAAGCCCAGCCTGAAAGACAGCAGGATATTTAGACCGCAAGGCAGACAACCATGCGGGCTGTGGTGTAGGGGCGGGAGCGGCATTCCCCGAAGATTCCCTGATCGCCCGACAAAACCCCTGTCCCTTGCGACCCTCTGGAATCAAAACCACCCCCTTATCTGGAATGCGAAGCCACTGAACCGAGGAACGGCAAGCTAAAAGATCATAGCGGGGCATCAATTGCTGTGGCTCCGCAGAAAAATTCTTGAGAGCTCCCCAAATACGAACGCCGTCTATTTTAACAAGAAACGTAACCTGGCGATTGGGAAGAGTCACGAAATATTCCTGCAAAGAACCAATTGGAAACTTGCATGGCAAATTAATCCCGCGTGTCTCATAAGGCCCCAGGACCACACTACGATTCAACGGCAAAAATAAAAGATCATTTTTTCGATAAGGAGGGTAAAGAGGGCGTTCAAGAAAATCTAGAAAAACAGGCTGTCCACTACGCCATCCATCCCCCCCAGCTACAGCTACCCGAGGCGACTGAAAGGTGCTCAGTCGCGGTCCACAGCCGCCGCTGGGCCGCGCCTCCCCCCGTTTCCCAACATGTATCGGTTGACCCCACCGCTAGTCCCTCGCTCACCGGTAACCCGAACGGTGCCAGGGACCATACGAGGTGAATAACATGGCAAAAGAACACCCTGGCAAAAAGCAGCACTGCGCGGGATGGTGACTGGGGCAGAGCCGGTGTTGACCAAGATAGCCTTGATACGGCCCCTGTAATTGCCATCCACCACCCCACCCAACACCTGCAGGCCATAGCGATGAGCCAAACCCGACTTGCCCTTTAGCAAGCACCACATACCGGCGGGAAACTGGCAAGCAATACCAGTATCAATCGTCTGGCGCTCCCCTGGCTGCAAGCGAATCTCCGTGGGGGCAAAGAAATCGAAAGCAGCATCTCCAGAAAACTTCTTTGCTGGATAGGATGGAAGACAACCTTGAATGGGGAAGCGTTCGACAAGCAGTGGTAGAGTTGAAGACTGGGTTGGACAGCAAGAAGGGGAGGAAGTAGGAAGTGTAGCTGGTGTAGCCTGCGGGGCCTGCACCTGGAGACATTTAACCTGCCCACCGCCATCCTTCTGGGTCAAGGCTCTGGAGGTACAATCAACCAGCAACTTATTGGCCTCCAAGAATGTAAAACCCATGATGAGAGGTGGCCCCTTGCTGTGAAGAACATGGGCAGGCATGAGCATATCCGTGCCCTCGACCTTGATCGGGAGGGTGACCTCCCCAACCATAGGCTCGGAGTCGCCATTCCCATAACGGACCTCACGATGGCATGGTC